TCATCAAACACTTCAACAGTAGACATATGTAAAGGGATTCTTTGAAGCCCATAGAATAAAGAGCCCTTAACTGTTAGAACTGCCTGAAATGGAATGAGATTCTTCATGAAATGTTTAGTAAATATTAAAGAACAACTTATCAGAGGTAGTGTGAAGTAGACTCATGAATGGGTATATACACTTATTTCTGCTACCCTTCACCATCAAACATAAATCAGTTCCAGATGTTAGGGATGCAAAGTTAAATAAGAACACATAATTTAGATTAGACTAAGGTTACTTACATGAGCACACCATTAGGTATTTGGAGTTCAATTTGGCTGAATGTTTGGCATGGATTTGCATCAGTTTTGCACATAAAAGTAAATAAATTGCATATTGCTAGATGATATTTTTCTTCTCTCTTATTTTAAAGCTTCCATCAGATTCTTTTAAGTACCTCACTTGGCACGAAATAGAACAACATGACATTCAAGGAAGTCAACTACGTTGCCCAAGAGTAAGAGAAGGTAAAAGAACAAATGTGTGTATTCTCTGTATACATACTCTAAGTAGATGCTTTTGTGGATTAAAAGACATTACTTGAAAAAAAGAAAGATATTACTTACAGGTAGAAAAAGATTTTCAAGATGAAATTGTTAATTTAGTGAAGCCACCTTTAAAAGCATATTGTAATACTGGGTCCTGCACAAATAATGCCCCATTTTTACTATAAAATCATAAGCATGTAATTCTGTAACATAACAATATTACACTTAAGCACACCATATGACATTTTAGGTGAAATGTTCAAATTAAAACTATAAATTATTACACCCATATTATTACCCTACTAACCACACTCAAGCAGGCTTTACTTCTACCAGACCCTGTATCTGATTATAAAAATAATAGATGTTCAGTATTAAATATTGGACAATAGATAAAGAAGAACCTATTATTCAACTATCCAGAAATACTCACTGTGACTTTTATTTCCAATTACGCTTTCTTTGAAAATCATAAACATACAAGTAAATATTTAACAAAATTGTATGAAAAATTTCAAATAAGTAAACAAGCATTTTCACTTACCTTAGTATTGTGAGCATTACCCAAAACATGTTTAGAAAAGGTTGCATATATTTTCATCACATGTGTATTAAATTTATTTAACCAATTATCTTTTTGCAATTTAGTTTATTTACTGTATTTCATGAGCATGAACATTGGACAACATTGTTACTTCAATGGATGACTTTACCTTGATTTAATTCTCTTTTTTTTAAAGCATCAAAAGAGAGTAAATAAGCCAAGTCATCTCATTTTATATTTTCACTAAACATTTTAAATTTGGTAAAATAACCAATATTTTAATGTTTTTTCACCTTCAGATTTTACGAATGAATTAGTGTGACAGTGTGAAGAAGCATGACCTGCAGCCCCTGATATGCATAATTTGATTAGTATTAGTAGATTATAGTTTTACTTCTATTAGTAGCTCTCAATAGATGATAAATTACATAGGAACAGAGATCATGCATTTCTCATGTCTCTTTTGCATCCTCCTGATGAAATAACATTAGACATAATTCCTGCATCAGTGAGTATTTAGTTTCTATAAAACATCTAATATCTTGGCTATCTTCCATCTGTATTTTTAGTCTGGCAGTTACATTGTACAATTATTATACTGGTTTAGAAAAAGTTGTTATAAATATATTTACCTGCCTATTTTCCCCTCTCCACTGCATTACTTTACTCACACGGTGCCTTTCATCTCTCATTCAAACTCAGCTGACAAAGGGAGACTAAAGTAGCATCATTTTCTGAAACTCTGAGTAAAATATGTTCTTATGTTTTAAACTGTCAGCTCTATTTGCAGCTAAGTACTGACTCCTATTTTATAAAATATTAGTAGAAGGTACAACTAGAGGAAATTTAATTTTGTCCTTTGGAGACCCTAAAGAGAAAATTATCCCAAAAAGCAAGAAAATATAGGGAATATTGAAGAGAGAAAGAAGACCAGAGAAAGGGAAGAGTGGGTCTCATGTGGAAGGAATTCATCAGCAAAAGGAAAACAGTGCTACCTGAGGGACTAGAGTGGGTTGCGTTCAGCTGGTTCTTAAACTTTCATTAAACTGGTGTGTGTTAGGCAAACATGATAACCACTACACTATGGAAACTTAAACTGGTGTGTGAGAGTGCAGATGCCTGGGCCATACTCCCACCGTATCTGATGTAGTTAGCATGGAATGGGGCTCCAGTGTCTGAATTTGTAAAATTTGTCAAAGGAAATTATGTTGCAGATTATCTGAGGACCTTACAATGAGAAACACTGGTTTAGGAGGTGTGGAGGAAGGGAGGGAAGGAAGAAATGTGAATAGAAAGTCAAAAGACTGGTAAAAGTTAGAGTACTGGCATGTACGTGTGCATGAGGGGAGTGGTTGATGACCTTGGCAGCCGCAATGAAGAGAAAAGAAATTGTAGCCTGAGCACAGGAGGAGAGTGAGATTTAGAGAGGGTTGCAGAACTGAAGAAATTGCAGGGATGACCAGAGAATAAAATGTAATAGTAAGCTGAAAATGAGCTTGTGTAAAGAGAGTCCAATGGCCTCCCTCCTTCCCTGATTTAAGCAGCCAGGTCATGTGCGGAGGTCATCCCTCAGCAAAACCAGTCCCACATAATAACCCCAGGGGTCATGCATGCAGAGGACATCATTGCTGTGCAGAGATAAGGCACGTTTTCCTGCCATAGATCATTAACATCACCTGCTCTCTGGCCAAGTGAGTAGCCATAAAAGGAATGGAGCATGCTCTAGGTGATGGAAAATATTGGAAAATTCCATCACCTCAAACCATGGAGAAGATAGTTGTCTCTTGTTCATAATTTTAAGGGTTTCTTTTGCGGGGGTGGGGGGTGATGGACAACAAGTGCTTTTCAAAAGCATCCTGGTAAGAATTACCCTCCTCTTAGCTTAGATCCTGAAAGACCCATCAAAACTGCTTCAGCTGGGCATCAACTGCCCCAGTTGTAAATTCAGGAAAAGTTCCTAAGAAAATGAAGGTTATTTGGTGTATGATAAACAGCAATTTCCCAAGACTTTCATTGAAAGATCAAGACGGACTTAACTCCTCCCAGTTAACTTAAGCAAAAGAGCAAACTTTTGGCAGACTTGAAGAATAAATGTTTTCTGTTTGAAAAGCCCTCAGCAAGTTAATTCAGTCACTGGTGCTACAAATGACAAATCCAGGGAGGGGACCAAGAACAATCTCAGCAGAAGCAGGGAAAAGCCAATCTCCTTGGGCTGTCAGATATTCCAGATTGTCATTCTCAACTGCTAAGAAATATCTTCAATTACTAAGTCTGAGGAAAAAAAAATCCAATTTAATGCAACTGCTTACAGTGGAGATGACCTTTGGCTCCCCACTTCAAAGAAACCTTTGAAAGCTGCTTTAAAAAAAATAATTGAAAGAGCAGAAGATCAATAGAAGTCAAACAAACAATACAGGGCAGAGTTTAATAAACTCTGGACTATCTGTTGCACAAAGGAAGTTACCAAATTTGGGGGTGAGTATTACAGGCAATAAGGCCAAAGGTCTCCCCAGTCAATTAGGTGATTGCTCCAGTTTTCCTAGTTCTGTGACTTTTAATTCCAATCATCCTAATAGATGAAGAAGATAATTTTCTAACCAAGAACATTTTATTTGTAAATTGGTTGATATCCTGCCACCTTTGGGATTAGGTTATTACCTGGATGGCAAATAGGCAGTTTATTATGAGACAAATGCCTGAAAAGGCAGGTAACACCTTGGCTTCCACCTGTACCTAATGAAAGAACTGGTGTTTGTGTCAAAATATGGAAATATTGGAGTCTTTCTCTTATTGCTTTCCATCAATCTCTTCACAAAAGAACTCTATTTCCCATCAGAGCCCAGGCAAACCTGACACAAAAACAAAGTTTGTTCTTGATGCCTTCAGTATCGTCTTTCTGGGCTTTTTCCACCTTTGAAATAAAGGGAATCATACAATCCAGGAAAAATGGGATATTAGGAGTATGTACCCAGGGTACCAGGTACGACTCATAGAAATACGGTATATTAGAGCCAGGAGGAAATTGAAATCATTTAGTGTAGGATTGCTGTCAGAGGCCCAACTTATGATAGCAGAGTTTGTCTGGGGTCGCATGAGGGTGTAAGGGTTTATGGCAATAAGAGAGCATATGTGGGTTTAGAATAGTATTTTGGAATTAGAAACGTATTAGAAATCTATTTTTATATAGCATTATGAATTTAAAACAACATTTTTCTCATCCAATTCAACTTATGTTAAGCCCTTGGTTCCAGTCTTCCTTGTATTTCAGCACATGTGGAAAAATAGAAGCTCGGAAAATTAAAGTTAGGCACCTGAATCAACAATTACCTAGGACCCAACTCCAGACTGGAAACAGGGTGTCCTTCCGCTATCCCCAGGAGTTTCGTGCAAACTTAATTTGGAGGACTGTAAAGTTGGCAAATAGTGGGGAGTGAGTTTGGAAATGGAGATCGGGAAGGCTGTGGGAAACCTTGCTTAACAAGCTAGGATGTTTCATTTTTATTTGATAGGCAACAAGACATTTCTGAAACGTTTTGAACATGTGAGTCCTGTGGTGAAGCTGTAGTTTCAAGAAGGCTATATGACAATTTACATCATTTATTTTGAAGGAGAGAACATTGCAAACTAGGAGATCTAAGGGACAGTTACATTCAGGTAGGAAACTACAAGGGTCTGGACATTCACAAGGAATGGGAGATTCTCAAGGGGAAAACATTAATTAAATTGAGGTATGAAAGAGAAGAAAAGTCAGGAGTGACTTCACATCCCCAGATAGAAAATGATACAAAGATTAAAGTCACTATTCTGGTGATTTTCTACATTTGCCTGGGCTAGAAATAATTTGTGTAAGTTAAAGGTTAACTCCTGTTGTTACCGCTCACACTATTTGGGCATCATATGGGTCAAACCATGATGTCCTCAAAGCAAATATTGAGTGGAAGTTTAAAACAACAGGTCAAATACCAAATGAAGATGTCAGTCCTGTCACTCTGACCCTACTTCCAGGACCTTCCCTTGTGACTTTTGCCTAGGACCGTCTGCAGAAGAGCTCCTCTTCACACAGCAGGCGGGGACCTTGCCTCCACGGAAAAGAGTCTGTGAAAAAAACAAATGGGAAACATGGCTGCAAGAAAACTGGGAGGACTGCAAGGTAAGAGCTAAAACAAGCAGGGAAAAAAAACCTATATTCTTCATTGATTAAATTATGACACTTTTTAAAGGGAAATTACCCAGACAAATATTTTAAACACCTCTTCCCAATGGGGAAACAAACCTACAACTTAGGCATCTGCCCTGACTGGGAATTGAACCAGCAACTTTACGCTCCGCAGTATGACACTCAACCAACTGAGCCATACCCATCAGGGCCTTAGCGATCTTTTTAAAAATAGAGATATCTATATTTCCTTAAAAATAGTAAATTATTTTGCTTCAAATGTTTAAGAAGGGGATTCTCATTTTATCCAATAATTTTTATTGACAGAAATTGATCATAAGATTGTGGAAATAAAAAAGTTAAGTTGACTTTTAGTAATAGAGTTTTCAAGAACAATGATACTACTGAGAGTAGTTTTAATTTCCTTTACATCAAAGTTGACTGATGTTAAAAATAAAATATCAACTGTCTTTGAAATATACCAAGTCATTTTTAGGTATGTATTTCTAGTTGTTTTGAAACAAATCATAGTTTTTATCTTTTGAATGATGATACCCTACTTTGAAATTTTTATAAATGTGTTTTTTTAGTATTTCTAAGGAGACTAAAGATAACTAATGATTTAAATCAGTAATTCCCAAATAAAGCTTTATTCCCTTCACTCTCCACCACTAAAGAATTTCAGAATCTGTTTGAGGATCCTGCCTTCTCTTTCTCACCCCCAACCTTGAAGGTCATTTTAATCAATATTCAGTCAGGATATTCACCTTCACTACCTTGAGAACCTCTGCAACATAATTGTGAGTGTTTGGATGTGTGAATATTTCAGAGGACAGGAAGTGGTGACAAATACTGTTTAAATAACATATACAATATATTCTTTGTTAATAACTTTTTGAAAGGTGAAAACTTGCTTTTTCTTTTTGTTTTTTCCTTCAGAATTTGAACCTTTCATTTCAGGATTTGGGGGACCCTTATCAAGTGACAAATTTTAACAGGATTCTTAGAAGACTAATTCGAGTTGAAACCCTCTGGTTAGTGGATAATTCACTGGTGGATTTAAGTGCCATAAGATTGCCAAGGTACCTGTTTACTAGAATGTCTGGTTACTAAGATAAAATCAAATATTTGCTATTTGTGGGCATGTGACCATGACCACTGACTTTCTGTACATATTGTAGTTCACTTCATGTGATCGGGTTTTAGACTTAATAGGGCTAAATGATGCCTGGGCAAGGCAAAAAGACAAGTTTATATATCAAAATGTCACACTTTACAGAGAAAAAAATATATTATTTTCCAAATGACTATTTCTATTATCAGTATTTAGGGGAGTAATTTGTAATGATGGAATCACATTGGCATTAAAAGCTGCTGTTTCTTCTGTGGTAAACTAGAAATGCAACTACATTACATATACACAATTGTTGTAAGATAGCAATTTTTAGTTAGTCATATTTACTAGGAGGAACCCCCCCAAAATGGAGTTATCTTCTGGAGGGCAGGCCCCTTGTAGTACAGGCTCCCACCACTGAGTGTTCTAGGAGACCATCAGTATCAGTGGACAGGCTGGCGTTATTGTGAGTGGTTGTGTTCAGCTTCAGTGAATTTTTTTAAGAGACTTTCAGTGCATTTGCCCATTTCATGATGGGTGATTTACAGGGGCACCTGCCCACACCACACTGAGTGTTCAACAGTTTTTGACCAAAATGGAATGATGCTCATGCCCCATCCTCCCTATTCACCTGATCTTGCCTCAAGCGACATTTTTTTGTTTCTTGGGATGAAAAATAGTCCCCAAAGGGGAACATTTTGCTAATGTGGAAGAGGAGAAAAAAAAGCAGTAGAAGCACTAAAAGTCATCAAAATCAAAATCAAAATGAGATCAAAAACTGTTTTGAGCAGTGGAAAAAGTGTCTCAATAAAGGTATCGCATCAAATAAAGAGTACTTTGAAGGTGACTGAAATTTGAATATGTAAGAATAGATACACAATTTTTAATAAATCAATTCTGTTTTGGGGGGGTTTTGCCCCTCGTATTGAGTACCTGTGGGGAAATAACCTACAGGCAGTTAACAGAAATCTTAGTTCAGGGTCACATTCTAATGGAGGGGTGGTGCTGGCAGTAAGAACAATGACAGGAACAAACTTAAAAAATTTTAAATTATATGGACTCCTTGATCTCCAAGGATCCCAATATAATCTACCTCTTTGCTCTGGATTGCTTGAGAACCCTTTTAGTAGAGAGCTGCCATCTTCCTCACTAGGCAGAATGGGTTGGTGGAGTCAGCTTTGGTAGCAGCAGACAGGGGTCCTAGGAAAGAATTAGTCGATGAAAAAATTGAGCAACCGCACATTTCTTGTCCAAAGAAGACCTTTTAGTTTTCTTTTATATAAAAGGGCTTTTTTTTCCTGATCTAAAATGTTATTTTTTTCTCAGTGTAGAAAGAAAAAATAACTATGATCTCACAATTTTTAGACTGTACTCTTCATAAGTTTTTATATTTCTCTGTGAGAACCTTTCATAGCTGAGATCATATATGCAGTCATTCACTCTTTCATTCAGAGCCTATCAAGGATCCACCACGGGCCAGAAAAGACAACAGATTCCTATGTTTAGCAAGCTTACAGTCTCATACATCATGCCTATTTTCTCCTAATATTTTAATGTAAATCTTTCTCTTTTCTTACAAATGTCATTTGTAGAAAACAGCACTGTCACTCCTTTGACGAGTGATGGTCTAGGTGGGGAATACATACTAGTCCTATGCAAGATTGGGAAGTTAATCCTCATTAAGAGACAAATAACAAGATGTTTATATTTTATATTCAGCTGCAGAGTTTTAAATATGAATAAAAACCATCTCACATCTTTCAAACAATTGCCAAAGATACCTCAGATACAGCATTTATCCTTGGCTGAGAACCGCATTGAGACTCTCACCGGGCTCACCAGTTTACGGTGCACTCCACTAGAATCCCTTGTGCTCAAGAGGAATCCCTGTGAATTTTTCCAAAATTACAGGAAACGGTAAGAACACAAGTGTCTTAAGTCACCTTTTTGTACTTCATTGAATATCTAATATGGGTTGGACATTTAACCATTCTAATCTCACCTAAAGAACTTCGAACTGATCTTTTTTTTCTTTTTTGGTCTTAAAAAAAATCTTTAATACACTCTGTTAATTTGCAATTGCTGTACAAATTTTAGGCTCCTCTTGTAATGTGACTTTACATACACAAGTTTCATTTCAGATACTCAGATCCTGTGCATTTTCTTTCATACTGTTTAATAGATATTATGTCTTTTAAAAAATTCTAAATATAAATTCTTATCAAGGTCCATGTGACAATCTCATAAACTGTTTATTCTCTGGTTTTATTTTCACTCCTTTGGGCCACAGGGCACCATTAAGTGAATACAAAGAAGTAATTGATTCAATCTACTCTAGTGGTTGAAAGAGCTTGAAAACATGCCAAGAATAAGCCATTTTTATTCCTCTGTCACTATTCAGAACATTCCTAATGATAATAATGGAATCTAAACAAACTTGGAGTGCGCACCAAGTAAAATGACTATCTATTTATTGCCAACTAATTTCCAGCACCGGTATTAGTGTACTTACAGGTATTAAAAAGATATAAATAAGCAACTAAGTTCTCAAATCTGTATCTGTCCCCATATGACCACACATCATCTCATCTCTCAGTTTGAATCTGTTATACAAAAGTTTAGATAATCTCTAGGTTACATTCCTGTCCCATCATGATAGTCCTTTATCTCCATCCAATTTCAATAGACGACAGGGTTCTCATTACTTTTTTCTCACATTGCCATTCCCCCATGACAGTGACTGTAATCCAGAGGTCTGTATCATATTAGACTCTTCGACTCCTGAAGTACAGTCAAAAGCTGTCAAACTAAAAATTCTAATCTCTGTTGTTACTACATAAATTTCATTCCTGCAGTTGTCTCCCTTGTGACTGTAGTCTAAGAGCAAAATTTCTTGTTATGTGATAATGAATTCTCCAAGTGCTTTTACCTAAGTGAAAACTACCAGCACATTCACTTTAATATTTAACTATAATAATATTTTGAAGTTCAAAATCATATTTTCCACAGTCAGAGGAGGTTTACCTGGACATTTTAACATTATTCATAAAAAAATCACATTTCCAGTCATAAAGATAATTTATTAGTATTATACGTCATTTTTGTTCATTTATATGTGAGATTTTATAAAACATTTTAGCCCCAACTCAATCACTTGCTTCAAAGAATGCCTTACAACAATAGTATTAAGATTAATTGTCTGAAATCTGATATGCCCTGAGGTCTCACTATAAATCTGTCTTTAAAATTCATGATGTGGTATAGAGTTATGTGGGAATGAAGGATATAATGAGGTTCTTCCACTTTTCTAGTATTAAGTCTATTGGATTGAGTCCAAAGTAGATATATACTGACATTCAAGCTATAAAAAGCAAGGGTGTATTGACTTAGGTAGCACAGGATTACTTTAAACAGAAAGATGTGGCCATTTTAAAGTTTGAGGAAAGGATGTTAATATCCACTCCTGCTGAGGAACTAAGCCGAAGTTCCAAGTTTATCCAAATTAGGGTTTAGTTGTCTAGCCCAAATCCACAGTTCAAGGATTATAACAACATTCATTTTGTCATTGGGTACTTTTATGTCTAGGATTTGGGCCAGACCTTTAATGACATTTTACTTTATGATCAGAATTATTTAAGTATGAGTTTTTTTGATCACTGTCACCTAAAATTGTGACTGGCTTTCCCTTCCTGCTTTGTTTCAGATCCTCCAATAAGAAGACAGCACAGTTCAAAAGTGAAAGGACTTAATGATAGAGCTAATAGTGTAAGTCCCAGTAGGCAGAGAGCAGCCCCACTTCCTGGAATACCCACCAGCAAATCCTTCTGCCATTCTTCAGAAGTCAGTGTGATAGCAGTTTGGCACAGTTTGACTTTTTAAAGAGAAGTAGTGACTAGAAGTTACTGCCAGCTAAGTCTAAACATTGGAGCCAGAAGACAGATTTTATTCTTTGCTCTGTCACATACAGGCTTAATAATCTTGGATAAATTACTTAAAATGAATGATAAAAACCAACCTGTGAGGATGAAATGAGATAATATGCAGAAAGCATTTGGTGCTAAAGGCATCATGCAGCCAGTGGGAATAGCCAAGGAGGTCAGCACCTCTTGGCATGTCTGCTGAGAGGTTTCAGTATTTTTCATCCTGGGAAAATCCCAGTGCCGTACTTCTTCTCTGGCCTGAGCTCCCAGATCTAGAAAAGCTCTCCACTGGAAAGGAAATGCTGCTTTATAACCCTGCTAGGTATACGACTACTGTTCAACCGGATTGATATGAAGGACTGTCTGAATTTGAAAACTGAGCTTCAAAATTCTCTCTGTCAAAGAAAAAAGAACTGAGAATAATATTATTCCCTACCTCTTCTCTTATACCTCTCAGTCAGAATTCTTCCTTAACAACATGGGCTTGCTTTACTTTTTCTTTTTAAAATGTCTAACTTTATAGCATGTACATATATCATCATGACTTCATTCTTTCCCTCATGGTTAGTGAGCCAAATCCATTCATTAATTTTTTTTCCCTTTATAGGACTTTGTAAAAACTGGAATTAAATTTCATAAAAACAGACTGCATGCGGCCTCACTTCTCTGACCAATCCTTAATGAAGTACTGGACTGTCTGGTAGCTCTCTGAGAGAGCACGCTCCAGCACAATGAACATGAGCAGTATTTTATTTTAACCCCATTGCAAAGATAAGGAAAACAGAATAAAGTGATGGTCGCTCATCTTTCTCATAACTGTAATCAAAAACCGCTTATCTATAAAGAGAGTAAGTGAAATACAATGCCTTTGTTCAATAGTTACTCATTTCTCCTTTTTAAATTTTCCTCTAGAGTGTTCTCCTGTTTGCCAAACCTAAAAATGCTAGATGGGATCCCAAAGCTTCCAGAAGATTCTCCATCACCAGAAACCAATATTTTTTCAAAATTATGTATTGTATCTTAATGCAATTTGTATAGAAAGAAAGCAATCAGTATTGTCTCTAAAAGCTAATAGGCATGGGAACTGCATGACTAAATATGGCTATTTATTATAGATATTGTATGTATATTTTCCTTTGAACTGCTTATTTCCAGTTTTTAAAAAATTCTATAACCTATCAGTAAATAAAATTTTGAGTATACACATATAATTAATTTTTATTTAGAAATTATATACATCAAGCACTAAATAAACATATAATGTATATTTGAAAACATCGAATAGTAGAGATCTGTAAGTGATGGGATGAAAATTGAACATGAATGAGGGCCCTAGGTTTCCCCCATGCTCCAAGAAACTCATCTGGTCCACTCCTGGGACTGTGAGCTGCTTGTTTTGTGAGTACTGTTTTAAATATCTGAACCCGTCAAAAGAAAAAGAAATGATCAGAAATGCCTTGTGTTATTTTAAGCCACATACATTGAATTCTCCATTTTAAATGTTCTTTTGTTCATTAGTGACTTTTACACAACAAAAATTGAGGAAAGTCCTAAGCCATATACTATTCATTAAATACATAATAAACAATACTGGTAAAGCTTTTTTTGTTTAGAGAATTTCATAAACGTGACTTTAAAACTGCTTTCTTTATATGTTAATGAGAAGGAACACAGTTCAGTTTAACTGCCTTCAAAATTTAGAAAGGTTAACAACTAGATCAATTTATTACCTTGTATTTTTATTTATTTACAAAGATCCATCTTGTTGCAGAACTAAGGTTTTCCTAAGATGGTTCATAGATTAACCAGGGAGCCTCGCAAGAAATAAAACTATTTTTCTGGATCATTCTGCCATGAGTGAATGCTGCTTGTAACATTTTACAACAAAGATTCTTAACAAGGTCAAGATACAATCCCTTCCCTCAAAAGTCTTAAGAATGACTAAAGAAGACAGCATGCATAATTTAACTTTAAATTCTGTGAAGCCACTTTGAGGACTTTGTAGAGAGACTATTATGCAAAGTGGATATTGCAGGCAGCGAGCAGGCACAAAGTGAAAAGGGGCGCAAGGCCCAGAAAGCGTGTGTGTCAGATGGGAACGGGCCTGGCTGCAGAAGTCAAAGCAGTGGATTGACAAGGGTTTAAAAAACAGTAATATTAATAATAATAGCTACAGCTTTCGAGCATGTGCTATGTATCAGGCACAGGACAGATGTATACTCATTATTCGAATCCTCAAAAAACTGCAAGGTCCCAATAATTCTCATTTCCTAGGCAGGGATGGCTGAGGCACGGAGAGGTCACACAAGGTAGGTAACACAATTTCAACATGACAAGCCAAGACTCGAAGCCTGAACACCTTTTAACACATTTGCTGCATCTTTCAATAACATAGTTCTAATTTCAAAATTTTTGTGTTTCCATGGACAGCTTTCTTGTCTGTACTTCATCACAAATCCTAGCAATTAATCGCAATCAAATACTCACTGTTTTTTTAACATGCCCAAAACTTTCCTTATTCAAGTTTTTCCTTATTTCTGCAATACTTTCCCTTGAAAACACTCCTGAGAATCTTTACTTTTTTCCATGTTCACTTCAAATATTATCTCCTTCAAAAATCTGTTTTCTCTGCAGGTCCATAGTCATTTTTATGACATACTTTCTTAATAATGCCCCCACTTGATTTTTTAAAAAAAAATTTATACTTTGCCTGGTTCCCTCTCCCCACCCCCCCAAGAAAGGCTTCAGTCATGAGATAAATAAGAAAGTGGGACACACTTCATTTTAAATGTTGATACATGTATCTTTCTGTCTTTCTAAATCAGAGTAGAAAAATATTTCCTGGAAAGAACTAAAAAGTATTTTAGTTCTTTTCAGGCCATACAGTCTCTGTCATAATTACTCTTTTCTGCCTTGTAATGCACAGAAGTTGCCATAGATCATATGTAAATTAATGGATATGGTTCTGTCCCAATAAAAATTTGTTTACAAAACCTTGTGACAGTGTATTGTCTGCTGACCCCTGCTCTAAATTTTAAAGGCATGTGGTTGATTTGTTTATTCTTCACCGATAGCTATTGCTCTCTCTGGAAGAGGTATATTCTTCCCCTATTTCTTGAAGTTGGCTGTGTCAAGCAACTTGACTTGGCCAGTGAAATATAAGTGAGCACGATATAGATAACTTGTAGGCAGAAATTTTGAGAACCAGATTGTGTTTTGTCGCTCTTTTTGTGCCACATTAGTAGGCAAATTTCCAGATTGAGGCTGTTCCGTTAGACTAGGTCCTACAGTGAATATGATATGAGCAGATCCATATTCATCCTACAGACATGTATAAAGCAAGAGACAGTAGACCTATGTCATCAACCTCTACAATTCCATTTGATGCCATACCATAGACTGGTCTTTCTCAACAAATACAGATCCTTGAATTTAGTTAGGGACTGCAATTTAACTTAGTCAATGTTGTACCACTGCCCCCCACCAAATAGCATAGTAGGCACACAAAACGTTGAGGAAATGAATAAATGTCTATTATAGAAAGTTATTACTTGAGTGGTAGACTTACCAGGTAGGATATAACTATAGTAATTTAAGTGAGATGCATTAAAAATTTTAAAGCAACCATGTTGGAAATAGAAACAAGTTAGGAGGGCATGAAAACTTCGGGCATTGTGACAGCCAACAAATTGTTTTAGTAAGCTAGTTTGAATTCACCTGTCTGTTTTCTATAAGCAAAAATATTCTAACTGGCAACGAAAATCATGGGTTTCATACATGGATGGTAAGAGGTACTGAGTGCTGGGTTGCTATCCATGGCGGCTAGCCTCACTGATTAATAAGCCTCCCTAGATGTTCATCCCGCTGTTTCTAGGAGGTGGCCTGTGTTGAATTGCAATCTGATGTTCTGATCTTAAGAGACACGGGTTCTATGGGAAGTGTGGGCAGAAGGGGTTGACTTAGTTGATGATGCCTATCCACGCCAGATTGGCACTGATTGGAAGGAGGCCAATGAATTGAATGCCATTGAACCTAATATCGAGTCTATTTACTCATTGCAGTGGCAACAGCTTTACTAGCCATCAGGGGTGACATGTCCGGTAATGGTGTGTATGCCATCACTCCAAATAAATCTGCTCACATGGCTTCTGTAATCTTTCCTTGCATATTCTAGCTATATTCTATTTAAGCATACTGACAGACATATTGTATTGGGAAGTATGCAAGGATTTTTTTTTAGCAATAGAGCTATATTTATGATCATCGTTGGTGCATAGGCACTGAAGAGGGCTAACTTACAGCTATATGCTATTTAACTCAACAGAACCACAATGAGCTCCCATTCTAAAACTTCTAGGTACATCCATCCTTCAGAAATATTCAGTTCTTCTCTTGCTACTGGAGGTAATAGGCATAAAAGGGATGTCTTAGTGCCTCCTAGCATCTTGCATCTAATTCTGTGCCTCAGTCTCATTCTTCCTTTGAATAACACATATGTGCAGGTTCATGATTGTCTGAATGGCTCAGTTCAGAACAGTGGCAGGGATTAAGCTGTATAAGTACTACAGCTTTCTGATAGGTGACACATTGCAAACAACTCCTTTATTAGGAAATAATTTCAGTAAGAGAAGCTTATTCAGTGCATGAAGAAATTTTACATTCATATTAGTCCAACTTTTCATGAGCCCTTAATGAATCAATTCGTATCAGCTCTACAACACCCAGTACAGGATTTTGCAGCTTACATTTGAAGAAACAGGAATTCTAAGCATTTGAAAAACATGTTTTATATATATACACACACACACACACACACACACACACACACACATAATCTTTATTACATTTTTTCATTACTGTTTTGTCCCCTTATACTCCTCACACAGCAATCACTCCCCTGCTGCCCGTGTCCATGAGCCCTTTTTCTTTTTTGTTCAATCCCTCCACCCCGAAACTCCCCCGCCCCTGCCAACTAGCTGACACCTGTTCTCCATTTAGAAAAAATTCTTTTTGATACATTCTAATCTTTAAGAAGTTCTGCCTATATTGAACTAATATCTGCCTTCTGTAACTTCCAACTAATCGTTCAAATGTCTCAAATAGTATAATTGGTTCCATCTTATAAGGAATTTTTTTGTCAGCTCTCAGTTTCTTGAAAATACCCTGATGTTTTCTCTTATATTACAGTGGAAGTGTAAATGGCTAAACTAAGATTTGTGGGATGAGGCAGATGGAGAAAGAGTAGATTAAAGTTAACTAGAACAAGTCAAAGCAGAAAAGAATCTTATTTTCCTCAAGTTCTATATACCTCCAAAGAGGAAGTCTCCTAAAATGAATTTTCTGTATCAAATTTTTTGAATTAAGTTAGCAAGCTTATTTTTTAATTCCTCTAGAAGTCATCTACTTTCAATTATTATTTCTCTCTAGAATAGAACAATTATAACTAATTGCTTGTCATTATACTACCAAGCTGTGTTAATGGATGCCCATCTTTTTACAGGCTAATTGCAGTCATGAAACAAAATTTCTAATTAGTTGTAGAGCTTTGGAACAGATGCATAATATTTGAATCATGCAGGTGCGTATTTGCTTATCTGCTTTTTTTCTGTTCACAAGAAGCATTCTATGAGCTCTGTTTGAAATTTCTAAAAGGTCCCACCAAAAATTATTATACTGCTTTATTAAAATCAAAGCGAAATCTACTATTGCTAAAAAATTGTTTTCTCCAAACTCTCAGTGTCCTTGAGCAATACATATTTTAAGATATTTTTCACTTTATATTCCAGTTATTTTTGAGAATGTATAAAATACAAGTTCCTTCAAGGACAAGAGTCAACTTAACTCCTTTTCATGTCTCTCGAAAACTAAATGTTCTCAAGGAGTGTTGAGTGAATGAGTGAAATCTGAGTAGATCCTCTTTGAGGTTAGATCCTTAGCCATGGGAAAAAATACTTAAAAATTAAATCTCATGAATCTAAAGAAATAATGTTATAGGACAAAAGCATGCATTTGGTAGAAACCAAAAACCTCCCTGAAACATAAACTCTGTGAGATGGATGTTAGCCTTGCAGCTGCTCCTGCTCTTCTGCCTGTTCCCTCACTCCTTCCCCTCAAACCAGATTTCAGACCAGCAGTCCTGCCTGCTCCTCCCTTCACCCAAGGAGGGAGGGCTATTTGAACCTTGTTAGTCAATTCCTCTGAGTTTTCTATGGGTGGAGCTTTCAAAAAGGCTTTCATTTTTATTTTCCTAATTCTCTTCCTTCCACACTTGTAAGATGGTAAGGACACTGCTTTCTCCCCTCTCTTCTCCTACCCTTTCCCTCTTTTTCTCCTTCCTTCCAGCCCCTCCACCTGTCCCTCCAGTGCCCTCTCTCTCTCTCTCTCTCTCTCACACACACACACACACACACACACACACTTTCACACTTTCACACTTTGCCCCCCTCACTTTGCCCCTCATCGGGAGACTGTACCCTGGCCTAGGAGGTAAGCCTGTCAGATGGCCTGGGCCCACTCAGTACTAGGCAAATGGACCAAAGCTCTTTGTTACTTGCTTGGCTCCATGTTTTCCTGAGTTGGCAGGTATAGTTTCTTGTCACTTCTAAATGTCAAATCTGGGCTCAGGAGGCTGATGCCCAATAGTATACCTAGCCTGGGGGTCGCAGAACTATTTACAAGACTAGGTCAATAGCTTCTGAGTCAGAGGCATAATTTGTGATGATATGTTATTTTGTTTAACTAGTCATTGTTCTTTTTTCACTTATCTCCTTCCATATAACTGTGAGAGGTACTGTTCTGGGGAAGAGTTCTGGTATTCCTGAGTCCTTTGGCCAAAGCATTATTTTAATAGTATGCCAATCTTACTGTACTCTCAATATTAGGGTATGTTTGCATACATAATAAAAATATGTTGATAAATTTTATACTAAACATGAAACGACTTTTGTCAAAATCTATAAACAATTAAGATAATATCTTTATTAAATTCTATAGGTCTCATCTATAGAGATTCTGAATCTATTGCCAATATTGTCAGAGTTACATGAAAGATATTTTCTATGCATAATAAAGTAACATACCAAACCTTTGTTGTGCAAATTACAGATTAAATAAGGAACTAATATGAATGTATATTTATTCTCATACAGAACTGTGAAATTCAAGCAAGGAGCTAAATATTGGTCTGTACTACTCAGAAAAATTATGGCCTCTCTCTTTGGCTTTCTAAAATAAAAATAAAGACAAAGCAATTGATCACTAGGTAAAAGATGCCTTTTAAATGAATATATATTAAGTATCCACAGGGTATATTGCCATCGTTTTTAGAAGTAAAACTCATTTTGATGAAAAATTGAGCTTTAAAAGGTTCATTTATTTCCCTTTTGCAAGCACACACCTGTTCAATGACTAGATATATTTCCTCTGCTTTTAAAAGCATTATCTATCTAAAACACATTTTTAAAAAGCTTTGTGTCTTTTTCTCTCAGTAAATTATCATGAATAAACATAGAAAATGGTCTACTGGTGAGGAAAAGTAAATTTATAAAAAGAAAATGAATTTTATCATGCATCGTTGTTCTAATACTCTAAACTTTTGGGGAAAGTTTATGCACATCCTGACTCCTGTTTCTTTCCTATTTAACTGTCCACAGCTCTTTCATCTACACAAAGGAACATATACACTTTAGCTCTGATTTAAGATCTGTAATAGTGGGTAAGTCACTGGACAGAATCAGATACTCTATAAAATTACTAAGATAGTTAACTTTCATTTACTGCCACAATAGTCAGGACCTTGTGCTAGTATACATGTAACTTTTTTATCCTTTTTTTTTTAATGTAGTTCTAGCAGTAAACAGTCTTTGGGATATGAGGATCCTCATCCTAGCCCTTCAATTTACAAAATTGTCTTCCAGAACGTCTTTTGCATTTAATCCCTCAA